CAATTCTCCATCAGAACTTCAACCGCTGTACTTATTGTCTGTAACTCGATTGCTGAATCTGAATATATTGAGTTGCGAAAGGACTTCGACTTTTTCTTATTAAATTGGGGTACCGAAGTACACTAAATTTGGTATTCCCCAACACTTTATTTGGTGATGAATGGTTACAGACGTCATTTACCAGTGATTAGACGCTATTACGACGTCGATTCATCGACTTCCTATGTACGACGTCAGTACAACGTCAATTTTGCGACATCGATAGAATCTCATTATTCGCAGATTGCAAATAATTTAGAAGTTGGAAATTGCGTGTCAAGGGCGATTTGATTTGGCATTCAGCTGTATGAATTTCACAGTTTGACACAATTTCCTCCTAGGACGGTATACCGGGTGGCTACGGAAGTATTGCCTACGAAATATCTCAGTTATTGTATGAAGTAAGTTTGTGAAATTCAGAGCGTCGATATAATGACATAAGAGCTAAAATTTGAGCATATTGACATGTCGAAGTTAACTTCCGGTCTGACCGGAAGTAACATCAACTTTCTTATTTCAAATGGAAACCCTATTTTATTTTCTTTTCGCTTTATTCAGCATTCAATTTCCTTTCTAATGACATATCACAAGTTGGTATCTAACCAGAAACTAGATCAGATGGTAAAAAGCATCTGTATTCCCAATACTGATCCAGATTGGATTGGACTCGTGATCGCAATTTTAGTGAGTACATTTCATTGCATTGTCAACGAAACTAAAATGTAAGCAAAACATAGGCAAAATTAACATGTTTTAGAACGTATATGCTTATTTATCTCAAAACCGGTTTGTTTCTCGAAAAAAAAGCGAAAAAGGAGCGAAAAAGCCTGTGAATTGAACAAACCACACAATTTGATCACTGAAAGATGCCAGAGGCGTACAACGAAAAAGTTTGGGGGGGTAAAGAAGCCTCTACCCCCAAAAACGTATCTCTCTGTAGATTTAAAAAATATTCAAATAGCTTCAAATGATGATCTCCTATAGAGAGTATTTACCTAACCGAATTTCGAAACGATATCTTGAAAAGTAAGCGAGATATTTCAATTAATAGAAAAAAAAAATAATCAAACTTTGACCCCCTGTAGCTCCGCTAATGAACGAGATCGGACTTTTGTTTATATGGACTTTTTTGATCAAAATGATGAGATGTATCTCCTATTTCAGTTTGTGCCCTAAAACCTGAATCACCCTGTATATGATCGAGAACATTGATTTCATTTGACAACAATTTTGTGTCTTACGTAGGTTGTAACCACAAGTATTAGGTTAACCTTTAACTATGTATATTAGTATTAGTAAGACAGTGTTGAGTCCCAAATATTTACTATTAAGTAGGTATCCTCAATTTTATTAGTTATAAATCCAACCTATGTGATTCGTAGGAATTATGAATTGATTGAAAATATCCTGTGGTTTTATCTATTTGTATGACTCCCCGATCAACAGAAGTTTTCTGGGCACCTTTTAAAGATTTGACCATCAAGCTCTAGAAAAACAGGGATTAACAAGAAATTCTTGAAAACTTTTTGCAACAGTTTTTAGTGAAACAGGTAGGCCAAGTTCTGAACATGTCATGTGTGGTGGGAAAAAAATTGTCTTTTCTTGTCATGAGAACCTACCTATAAGAAAAATATAAGGAATATTCGTGATTTTTTTTCAATCCACAATAATTTTTACTTTGACAATGATAACTCGTATATAATATACTCACGTATGACGTATTATGACGTCCCGAAACGTCAAATGAATGTTTTAGTATGACGTCACTAATTGACATCGTGAGGACTTCACTAATATGACGTCGAAATCATGTGACTAATCAACGTCGTGACGACGTCGTAGAGACGTCACGAAATGACGTGACTAACGTCTGAATTATTACGTCGTAGAGACGTCACCTGTGATAGTGATTATATTGGTTTATGTGCAAACATTATTTCGACAAAAAAATCATAACTTTGTTATGATAGCGATATACTCTTTGATATCAAAGGGGTAAATGTAGGTAACAAGGTTGCCTCAAGAAGTGTGCTGCTATACATGGCATTCCAATAACTTGGTAGATTGCAATGCAAACAAAACACGAGCATGCCTTTAGAAAAGCCGACCTCACTGTGCCCAACATAAGCTTTTCAGGAGTAACCATACCTTTGAAGACATCCATTTCGATGCTTGGTAGTACTATCAGCAATAACCTTTTTTTGGCAAAATTAGGTCACATCAATTGCTAAAAGTGCGTCCCAAAAACTTGGTTTTCTGTTTCGGGCCAGGACCTATTTCACTTCCAGTCAGCTGCTTATGATCTATAATGCACAGATCCGACCTGTCCTGGAATACTGTTCCCATATTTGGAGTGCAGCACCAAAATATACCCTGAAACTATTGGATTCTGTTAAAAAAAGGCAAATTCGTCTCTTGGGTGATGCCTCGCTCACAAACTCACTCACTTCTCTGGAACACTGTAGAAAAGTAAGCGATCTGGCTCTATTTTATAGATATTTTCATCGACGATGCTCTTCTGAAATATCAACAATTGTTTCTTCCTTGGCAGTCCCCACGAGATTGACCCGTCGAGTTGAGGCTTCGCACCCCTTCGTGGTCACGTTGGAGACCTGCAGAACATCTTTTTCCAAAGACTCGTTCATCCACCGAACAGAATTTCCCTTCTCGTGAGAACCAAAACATAAACAAATATAATGTTCCTAGATACCATAGAGCTCGACCAATCGAGCTTCGACGCTCAATAATGCATCATTTTTGAATAATTAAAATATTGCCTATATGTATAATGATCCCACAATAAGATATTATAATACAAACAATTCACTCAATATGTTATAATATCGACATATCAAACTTGAGATGGTATGATGTGTCCTTTATTACAGTGTTGGCGTATATCTGCGTTCAGTTGTTCATATGAGCGAAGTCAGAACTCCAAAGAGTACGCGGGAGAAATGTTAGTCATTATTATTATAATTTCTTAATTATCAATTGATATAGTCGTTACCTAGTGATGTCAGTGGCTGGTGATCGCCAAAGTGCATACACTGAGGAAAATTGTGCTATCAGAGTTTTTGCTGAGACATTTCTTGCTACCATTACAAGAAATCATATTACTGTTATACATTTTCGAATAGATGCAGCACCTTGGAATCCTATGATAGCAATAACGACTTTGCTGAAAGTGAATTTCCTGCCACAGGAAGGTATACTGCTGTCGCTATCCAGGTACCCACCTTGGGACAGCATGATTTTTTTGAATAATTGTCTAGCTGAACTACTACTAGTGAGTAATATGCTTGTGGCGAGGTTCATCGCATAGAACTGCACTCACTACCAATAATACAACTGTCAGTCTGCCACGAAAATAATATTTGACGAATCAACTTGGGGTTATTCAGCGCATACTTATCGTCATTCGATATTTTGCTGATTTGTCCCCCTCTATATAAGCATTTGTCAGACATCTTCCTTGATCGATCATTCACAGTTGGACTCTTGATGCAAACCCATGTACACTTGTACAGGACAACAATCTCGACGACATACGACAGTTAAGATCACTTCCCCTCTTGAATTCAATTCATTATTCGAAATCTGAATCTGAATTCGAATATAAACTGGGTACAAATGAAGAAATCTTCTGTGTCCCTCTCAGTGCTTTCGTGGATCTGAGTGCTTCAGTTATTACCAGGATTGATGGAATGATAAAGGTGAATATTTTCGAGGTATTTCGACCAAAATTCAAATATTTTACATCCAACATTTCCTTCTTTTTGGTACATTGAAACTTAAAAAATTGTCAATTATGTTCCAGAGCTCCTTTATAGAATGTGGTCTAAGAGCTTATTGTGTGCAAAAATGTTCAGGTTATGAAATTATTTGAATGATTCTACTGCTAACATTTTGTTCTCCTGTACGGATCTGTAATAACTTGCCTAGTTTTCGAAAACAATGGTTTCAGGAAGTTTCAGAAAAATCCTTTGTCTCATTGATCACTCAAAATCTTTTGTTTTTCCTGAGAGTGATGCATGAATCAACTGATCTATTGAATTTCAGAGATCATTGGTTCGAAAAATTTTTTAGGAATCAATAAATTGCTATCCATACCGAACATCAGGGTGGAAATTATGGAAAGTGAAATTGGATATCAGTCAAAATTTCACCTTTCTTGATGACAACAATCTTGGAAAATAACTGAATAACTACAGCGAGAAGGTCATGCAACTATCTATATGATCACCCAGCAAGAGTAGCATAGTTCCCTACCTACGATTATAACATTGCCCTACTCCCATTATTGAATGCACTCACTAGCGGTAGCAAAGTCAGATACCTACCACAGAAACATCGTCTCATAGCAATATACAGATGCACTCGCTTGTGTCAGCAAGGTTCTTTATCTAATAATCGCAGGTGAATTCCAATCAGCAAAGTCTCTTTGTAATCACAGATGATAACTCGCTTGTCCCCTATACAATCAGAGTTTCTTGCTGGGGTAATTTGATTTCTGACTATGGTTAATAGGAATTTCCCTCAGTCAAACAGTTATGATGAGCAAGTGTGAGAGCATCCTCAAGTACACAAGATACTCCTTGCTAATAGCTGGAGCATTCGATATACGGAACAAAACAACAAACCCATCCATTCCATACAAGATTTGGTCTTTCCTTTCACTAGGCTACTACTTTCTGTTCGTCATGTCGTTCCTTGTGGGCATGATAGATTTACTGATGGATGACGTTGATGTGGTAACATTCAACATCAACATGCAAACTTTCCTCTCCAGCTTCCTCTTACTAATGAAATTGGTGTTATTCTACTCCAGAGGAATTCGAGATAAAATCAAAGAAGTGTATCAGTTTGAGTACGACATCACCCACGATGACTTGGAATGTACGCGAATATACAACAGAAATTCCCGCTACAACTACAAGATATTTGTTTTATTGTCTTTTATGATGACCAGTATTGGCTTCTTGTTTATGGTCACCACTTTCAACGAATGGAAGCTGATGGATGCGGAAAGCAAGTCGCTCATCTACCGTGGTTGGTTCCCTTTCGATATAGAGGATCCAACTTATTTCAACGTTGCGTACTTTTTTCAATACCTCGCAGGGTTCTGGTTATGCTGGTTTACAATCATGTTAGATTCCCTGCTCATTTCGATGGTGACCTTCGCTACTGCAAGAATTGCTGTCTTGGGATACAAGTTCGAAAATTTCGAGATATACAGTAATGGAAGGAATGAATCAACATTTCATTGTCTACGGAATATTGTTACGGAACATCAGAATCTGATCAGGTGAGTGTATATATCGATAGGTACGTACAGTCCCAAGTAACATTTTAAATGCCTAATAGCTTCTATGAGACTTTAAAGAGGTTATGTCAGCGCAAATGATAGGTCTTATTTGTTTTACTGTTTCATGAATGCCCTGGAAAAAGCATATTGGCCTTCATGTCCATATAATCCCTTCGAGATACTATGATAGAACTATCGCATAAAACAATTTGGCATTCAGCTGACTTCGGTTCTGTGAGAGTCATTGATATTCTTTGTCGAAACCATTTACTCTTAACAACCCTCTTGAAACACTTGAGTTTCATTAGTGTCTCGAATTTGACCGAGAGGTTTCGAAATAATCCTATGAAAATACGTCATAAAGCAATCATAAAAAATAATTTACGCTAGGCCAATTAGGATTTGACTGAGGCAATAATGAAACCTAATGGCATTATTCTAGCTATGTGAAAATAATTATTAAAACCTATAAGCCACAATGAATTTATCGAATTCAATCATCGAATCTATAGGAAGTTTCATTTAGAACCATGTTAAACCCAAATCCCAAAATATAAATGTTCGAATTTTTTCGCATACAAACGACTCACGATGAAATGAACTCGGAAGAAAATAAATATTGTGGAATTGGGAGGAATGGCAACTTCAAGCGGAAAAATAAAGAAAAGTACTTGAGAATCAAAAATCAAGTCGTGAGAGCAACAGTGAATCAGAATTCTCAAGCCCAAGCAATTCCAAACACTGTGTCTTTCAATTCATCCCACCTGAAACCAAGAATTCATCAGGACCTGATGATGTTTATGAAGTAGCATCAACGAGTCAGAACGTAATGGAAAATATTCTGATCATCGTGCTTCTGAATGGGAACTATGAAGCGAGGAAGTTGACAAGAGTTTTGCACAAATTATGTCAGATGGCGAGTTCAGCATGAATTTGAGAGAATGGAGCACTCAACACAATATCAGGCAAACTGCACTGAGTGTAGTTTGTCTATGTTCATGTTTCCTAGTCGGTTTCCTACTTAAAACCAATCACAAAATTCACAAAGTGAACACTGTAAATAACAAAAGTAGGGTTATGTTAATCATGTTGATGACGTTCTTCTACTTTTTGGAACAAATGATTACATTTTTCATCATTATATTTTATTGATATGTAATTGTTTGTTGTTTAGCTATTTCTATCAATTCTTACTAAAAATTATTTAATAAGTTGTAATTTAAGTTGAATTTTTTTTTTTTTAGTTGTTATCTGATATAAAGCTCGTAGGGAAAATGTAATTTTCTATTATTATACTCCATTGTTATACGTGATTATTGTTTAGTTACATTTTTCAATAAGTTTTTTTTTTCTTTTTATCTGATATGGAGCTCGTAGGAAAAATGTTGTTCCTAACACGTTCGCAAAGTGCTCAACTGTATTTGCGTTCGGAAAAGTAACACTTTGCGCACATGTTAGAAAATAAAATTTGACAGCGGATGTTATTCCGTTATTAGGGAAGGTACGCATGATGTTCCACATTTTAGGAATTCCCTTCCATGCGCTCCAAGAGATAAAAAAATTACCAACAATAAGCATTTTAGAATACCTGATCAATCAATGTTTTATTGAAGAATGACAGTTAAGGAAGCCTGCATAACAATATGTTACTGTCGAGGTTTTCTGTTGAATCTGAACATTATTCACAGTTCCCCTGCTGTTCCGAAGGCTCGTTCATAAACGTATTCCTTGAGAGGAATAAGTCTGGCGGGGTCACATTGGGTGAACGAGTTGAACACTCTTTTTGGGAATCTGAGCTGAGTGAAAAATAATCTTTAGCACCACTTGAGTCATGTGCAGGTGTTCCAGGTTACACGGAACTCTCTGCGTCTGAGTAGTTATCTTTAGGATCAAAATGCGAAATCTTCCTGTGAAGTGCCAAAGATCACTATAGGCTGTCACCATGGGAAATACTCTCTGGAGTCGTCCGAAAAAAAAACGCGGAGATGTCGCCTCAAATTTGAAATATTCCTCATTATTGCGAATCATTGAGGTTATCTATTAGAGGAACTAAATTGCCATTTCTTTCAGCGAGCACCCAAGGATATCCTGGACGTAACAGGAGAAGGCATTTATCATTGCGAGCTCCTAAAGTAATCACAAACATAATAACCTGAATAATTAATGAATATTACTACAAAAATATTGAGTTGTTTTCATTCGCCTTTATCATTATCAGTCAAAATGAATATTCATTTGACCTTCAAATACCGGGTGTTCCAAGGGATCGTATCTTGCCCCAGTCAGCACAGAGAGGTCCTGAAGATATCTCGAAAAAATCCCTCTAGGAAATTGTGATGCCTTTTGTAACTTCTTTGAGAGATCGCCGAGAGTGCTATTATATATACTCCAAATGTCCGCAACCTAGGCTGATCTCAGCGAGGTCTTATAAAGATATCCCACGCAGAAATTCTCATAGAATGCCATCAGGCGCGCACTTTGAGATATACGCTTCAATCGCCACTGACGAGAACTGAAAGTGCTCGCATCATGAGCTGTTCGAGAAATCCGCATACATTTCTTTGTGACGAGGACACTGGGAGATTCGCATCAATTGCTTCTGGCGAGGTCTTTAAGTGCTCGCTACTACGAGCTGTTTGAGAATTTCGCACGCATCGCCTTGTGAAGAGGACTTTGTGAAATTCGCATCAATTACTAATAGCGAACTCTTCAAGTACTCGCAACTATGATTTGTTCAAGAATCCGTGCACATCGCCTTAAAACGGGGCCTTTAAGAGCGATATTTGCATCAATCGCCACATGATCGCAACTTATATGGTGAGGTGTTCAATTTTTGGGAAGTCATTGGTTATCAGCAGTCTCCTGTCGGCGCAGTCTAACTAGCGCCAGCTATATTGTTTGGGGTGATGTTAAATTTACTGAATATTTGTTTCAGCGAAAAAGATTAAGTTACCAAACTTTTAGATCAACGTAATGAGCTTTGATTATATATTATTATATAGCAAGACATTGATCAAGTAGACTTTATCACTTGAAAACATATTCGAGGAGTTGGCCGGGTATTCTTACAGAATGAAAATGTCATCCGACCCACGAATTTGAGGTAGATATTTGATTCTCGATCCCACTTGAATTGGAACATTTTTGTCTTTTTCGTCAGAGCAGATAATTAATTATCATTAATTTACTGCAAAATTTCAAATAATCTTCCATGATGGCGGAGAGATAATAATATAACCTGTTGAGACAGTAAGAAAATCTAGTATCTAGTAAGAAATTATTATAATCATAGATTAATGACTCCCATTTCATGTTAATACTGGGTGTCCCAAGTTATCGTATAGGTACCGGCAAAAACTCGCTTACTCAACAAAATGAACAAAATATAGTGAGAATGCTTCAAATGACATCGAAGAACTTTCTTTATGACTCAAAATGAAGTGAATTAGATTGGACAGCCCCCTGGTAGCAACTCCTCAATTTTTTATAAAATGGACTCCCTGTATATTTGTCATTGAAAATTGCCTGTATATTTGTCATTGAAAATTGCCTATCATCCTATTTTGGGAATGACCGATAGCACATCGGTACTTTGTATTTTGTTCATTAATAACAACATTAACAATAAAATTTTTTGACCTAATTTACGTTACATCGATTGAAAATTGCCTACTCCCATGTTCGTGAAAATGTCCCACAATAAAATTAGATTAATTATCACACTATAGGTAGGTACCGTCTGCAATGATTGATGTTCTGCAGTTCAATTTTTTAATTTTTTGAAACCAAAACTTCAATCCATACTTCTTATCTGTGAACTTTTCAAACACATGGGTGAATGCAATTTGTCATTTGAGTAACGTAAAAAAAGTCATAAAATGTTCATGTTTTTGTTGTTATCAAGAACAAAACACCAAGTATGTGCTATATTCCAAATAGATTGCCACGCAATTTTCAGAGACAATATGCTACTCCAAAATAAAAACTGATCAGTATCTACCATCTGGGGGCTGCCAAATATATCACATTCTTCATAAGCCATTAGGAAGGTTATTTAATGCCATTAAATGCAGTTTTTTAATGCTTTCGGTATCTTGACAAATAGGCGAGATATTGCCTGTATACGATATCTTGGGACACCCAGTGTCTGAATTATGAAGGCAATTGAAAAAAACAACTCAATATTTTTTTAGGAATATTCATTAATCATTCAGGTTACGTTTGTGATTACTTTAGGAGCTCGCAATGGGAAATGCTCGATCTTGTTACGTCCAGGATATCCTTGGGTGCTCGCAGAAAGAAATGCCTATTCATTTCCTGTTATAGATAACCTCAAGGATTCGTAATAATGAGGAATATATCGAATCTGAGGCGAGATCTCTGCGATTTCTTTCGGACGACTCCAGAGAGTATTTCCCATGGTGACAGCCTATAGTGATCTTTGGCACCTCGCAGGGTGATTTCGCATGTTGATCCTGAAGATAACTACTTAGAGATATCGCGGAGAGTTCCGTGTTACCTGGATGCATATTTGTCAAGATATTAAAATCATAAAAAACCTCATTAAATGGCATTAAATAACCTTCCGAATGACTTATGCAGAATGTGATATATTTGGCAGCCCCCCGATGGTAGATATATGGCAAACTGTCATTGAAAATTGCGTACCAATCCATTTGGAATACAACGATATAGCACATACTTGGTATTTTGTTCATAGATAACATAACAACATGAAAATTCTGTGACTTTTTTACGTTACTTGAATGTAAAATTGCTTTCACCCAAGTGTCCAAAAAGTTCACAGATAAGAAGTATGGATTGAATTTTTGTTCCAAAGAATTAATGACAGATAATATATTCCATTTTGAAGTGTAGGACATCAAATATTGCAGACGGTATCTACCTAGTGTAATGATTATATAACTTCTATCGAGTGAAATTTTCACAAACATGGGAAGGGGCAACTTTCAATCGATGTAACGTAAATAAAGTCGAAAATTGTTGGTATTAATTAACAAAATGGAAAGTACCTATGTGCTATCGTTTTTTTCCGAAATAGGATGACAGGCAATTCTCAATGGCAATAATATACAGGGAATCCATTTAATAAAAATTGAGGAGTAGCTACCAAGGGGCTGTTTACTCTAATACAATCAAGTCATAAGGAAAGTATTTTGATGTCATTTGGAGCAATTTCTACTATTTTTTGATCATCTTGTCAAATAAGCGAGATTTTGCATGTACCTATACGATAACTTGGGACACCCAGTATTAACATGAAATGGGAAAACAAAAATTGCAATATTTCATCACATCAGACCGTCATAAATATCAATGGGTAATTTATAATAATAATTGTGTACTAGATACTTACTATAGATAGATATAGATACTATACATTTTCTTACTCTCTTAGTGAATTTGTTCAACATGTCATATTATTATCTCCCCGCCATCATGGAAGATTATTTAAAATTTTGCAGAGAAAAGTGTTTCAATTCAGGTAGGATATAGAGAATCAAATATCTACCTACTTCAAATTCGTGCGTAATTATCGGACGACCTTTTTTTTTCAATGAATACCCGGCCAACTTCTCAAAAATGTTTTCAAGTGGAAATGTTCACTTGATCTATGTCTTGCTATAGAATGCATTAGGTCGTCAGATTCAATTTCCTTTAACAAAAGAATAAGGGCATATAATTAGAAATATCGTTCGATGTAGCTCCGGTTCACGGTACTATATAGCCTTTGGCAGTTTGCCATACACTGAATATAACAAAAGTACATCCAATTGTTTTAATTGGAACTCAATGAGTTAATCCTAAAGTTTGGTAATTTTATCTTTGGCATTAAAACTATTATCGAGAAAATTTACCTTTACCCCAAAAAATATAGCTGGTGCTAGTTAAACTTCGTCGACATGCGACTGATGCTGATAACCAATGACTCTCAAAATTTGAATACCATACCATATCATATGGCGATTGATGCGAATATCGCTCTTGATGGCCTCGTTATAAAGCGATGTGCACGGATTCTTGAACAACTCATACTTGCGAGCCATCAGTAATTAATGAGAATTTCCTGGAGTCCTCGTCAAAAGGCTTTGTCTGCAAATATCTCAAAAAGCTCGTAGTCGCGAGCACTTAAAGACCTCGCCAATAGCAATTAATGCAAATCTCCCAATATCCTCGTCACAAGGCAATGGTTGCAAAATTCTCAAACAGCTTGTAGTCGCGAGCACTTCAAGACCTCGCTAGTGGCGATTGATGCAAATATCTCAAAGTGCTCGCCTGAGGGCATTGTGACCTCGCTGAGCTCAGCCTGAGTGGTGGACATTTGGAGGAGTTATAGCGCTCTCGGCGATGTCTTAAGAAGTTACAAAAGGCACTACAATGTCCTGGAAGGATATCTTTCGGACCTCTCTGTGCTGCCTGGGATACTGTGGTACCATCTTGATGGAATCAATAACAATCCTGAAAATCCGCCAGTGTCGAATTTTCCAGGGCTTTCTCCATATCATTTGAGACGTCAGGTCCGTATTCCAAAAATGTCTTGATTTTTTTGAAATTGTTTTTGTTTTAAAATTGTTTTATCCGTCAATCGGTTGTCTCCTCACGAGCACCCTCAGAAGTCTTCGAGAGTCTTGTGCGAGCAAGGAATGACGGGGGCCTAAACTTTCAACGTGTGATCACAAACACTTTCTTGGGCCATCAGAAAAATGTCTGCAGTCTCTAAGAATCGAACCCACGACCGGCAAGCGAGTGTGGATTAAAATATTGACATTCTGTCCGCACGGCTACCTGGCCTTGATTGTGAAAATAAGCTCGAAACGCCTAAAGAACCACAAATATGTATTATTTCAATGAGACCAGAATGTGAAGGGCTATCCGAATCAGATATCGGAATATCAGGGCCGTATTTGTTTGAAAAAGTGAAGTTGATGATAGTTACGCAAAGGCGATCAGAAAATCGATGATGCTAGATTAAAGAGCATCAGCATAAGTTGTATGAAGGTACTTCTCAAGTTTCATTATATTGCTAAAATAATATGGTATTGAAAATCAAGAAACAATGTTTCTTGGAAATAACTCATAAAACGAGAAGTCATATCAGAGATATTTAAGAGTAATTTTGTTGCTTCTTTACCCGTGCCACTGTTTCCCCATTCAATCAAATCTGTATTCCTCGTATAGTGTCCTTGAAATGGGAGATGATACGTTTCTCAAATTAACATTAGAGTATGTCAGTATCTACAGATGAATGCTTGATACACTACATCTGAAGAATCACTATAATATTGCGAGGAAACCACTAGAATTTTCATTGTTATCCTTTCAATTCTAGATACGTTGAAGATGTCCAGAAATCCTTGAAATGGTACTTATTAGGAGAGTTTTTGATCAAATCTTATCATATAACAGTGTCGCTTCTGAACGTAAGTTAAACATTTGCAGAAATTCTCGAATCTAATGAATGTATCTTGTCGAATTACAGGTGATACACGCAACAAATAAGGAAGAAATCATTTTTTACCAGTCCATGGTGATAGGGCTACTACTTCATGTTAGCATGTTCTACTATAATGCCAATGAGTTATCATCAGAGGTAAGTATAACCGAAACGTGATGTTCCAGTCAGAGATGAAGCATTTATCTCCAGTTCAAATGAAATCACAGACACACTTGAAACTCATCACATTTGATTCATCAGTCCTATTTCTACAAATGTTTCATGTTTCAACACAGAAATATTCCAATTAGAGATAAAGGTAGCAAGATGAAATCACAGACTCACTTGAAACTCATCACATATGTTTCATAACATTTGGATCAGAGATTCCATCACTCCCAGCAAACACAATTATGTAAAATTGACATAAGTGTTACATAATTGACAATACGTGTTATGTAACTATGTTATGTAAGACTTACATCACTGTTATGGCGAAATGTCCGCCACAAATACTACATGATTATTACGTAACAATTATGTCACTATTTTATATATATTTTATATAATTTCATTGCTATAAATAAGACGTTACGTATATAACAAACTGACATAAATATTACATAACATTCTCTAGATGTTATGTAAAATTTACATCCCTATTATGTAAAAATGTCGGCTACAAATATAACTCCATTTTAATATAATATTGATGAAACTACTTGACTAATATCCGAAATGAATATCGGAATTTCACGAATAACCTCTTCACTTCACTAACTCACTTCACAGGCATATGCACATATTGAACTAAGTACAATCATCTCAGTAGGTGATCCAAACTCTACACTCCATAATATCTATACTGATATTACTGATGATGATATATGGTTATAGAAATGTGCATGAGAGTTGGAAGTGGGCTAGTGTGAAAAAGAAGTTATTTGGCAATTTTTGATTGTGTGGGAAAATGTAACACACAGATTAGTCATAAAATGCTTGATGGTTTATTATCTCCTATATCATTCAGTATTCACTTCAATTCTCCTCATGTACAAAAAAACTCTGCTCGAAAATTTCTAAGACTTTCTGTTCCAAATAATATTATGCATTATAGTACACAGTATAATTGATCAGTTGCCAACTTTAAAACAAAAAAATTGTCAAAAAATTATAGACTGAATAATCTTCAAATCGAATAAAATAGAATGTCCTGAATAGAATATGATATAACAACATCAACTATCAAATGAAAAACATGACCTTTATTTTTCTTTGAAAATAGTGAGACAATTTATGTATACTTCAAAAGTTCAAAAAATCATAATTGTGAGTAATCAAATTATATATTATTTCTTCTTGATCTCCCAATTCAACCCAATTCAAGCCTCCATTTAACCTCTGGTGACTAAATCAGAACCACCTTCCTGCTGGTTTATCTATCAGAGTAAGATATCGAAGGGTGTGTGATAATGATGGAGTCTGAAAAAATATTGCTTTGTTTTTCATTTTTCAAATTAAAATCTAAAATATATATTACCAGATAATGATATTTCGATTGATTTCAAATCTCTGACTTCAATGTTTCCCCTCTGCCCTTACCAGGAACATTGTGTGGCCCCTATATAGATAGTCTCTCCCATCTTTACCACCTTGAGTTTTGAAAAGATGTACCTACCTGGAAAAGTATTCATTTCAGGATTCATCTTATTGGGGTTCTTCATGAACTTATTTATGAAACAAAAAATAATAATCACTGACAAAATGATTAAATTTCCATAACCAATAATAATAACTTTAATCCAGAATGTGTGGCACTTTGGGGTTTTCACTGGGGTTTTCATCAGCCATCATAATCAATCACTGGCTTTTGTTTAATTTCATATGAGAATTGGAGTTTGACCAGATTATACCTCGGATTCTATCAATACCCACCAGATTCATCATTTATTCTAGGCATATTTAAGAGGTCCAGGATAGATATGTAACTATTTCTTTCTTGTGGTTTTCACAGAGGTTAGGAAAATCTCAAGGCATGTTTATTTATTCTCTCACCTCCACTTATTCATATTAACACTTTTAGTTCAGTTTAATTCATCAAACACAGCAGGTAGAAACAAGAAAAACACTCGAAATAGTTATAAAATACCGAAAATGCCTTCAGTGTAGTTTGTTTATGGTCTCGTCTTCACTTATAATTATAACAATGTTATATTATAACTCATAACCTCGAAGTAGTCGACCAATAGGAATTGGGCATGTGAAGGATGGCATGTGGGATGGGGGACCACTGCAGCGCAGAAAATTGGTGAAAACAAGAAAATCACTCGGAATAGTAAGAAAATACTGAAAATGCTTTCAGTCTCCAAGTCTTCACTCATTACTTATAACCTCAGAGTGGTCACGGAGAAACGCTACAGTGCGAGAGCGAAAAATAATAATCATCGCGGTGGGGGAACATTACAGCGCGAGACCACGGGTACTGATCATCCCAACGAATATCCTTTAATTGAATCAAGAATCAAGAATCAAGTCTGCAGAGAATTTACGGCCGAGAGTCCTAGTAAAGTCATGTAGCTATCATATAAGCTTTTATATTGATATCAAATTGTCACATATCATTTACATCATGGTTACGTTACATTTTTATATAATTATGGGGTTCACATATTTCAGAATTGTTACGGAATATTTACGTAAATATTTTATATAAATAGTAGGTTCACATATTTCAGAAGTATTATGGAATATTTACGTAAATATTCTATATAAAAAAGTTCCGTTGATTTTATATAACAGTGATGTAAATATAACAGATGTGTTTGCTGGGCTGCTATACAGTGTGTCCCACTTACCATGCTCACCATGGGTATCTTTTTAACGGTGAGAGATACTGTTGTAGAAAGTGCTATAGGATTGAATGATTCATATGCAGACTTGATTTTGTAAATAGTTGTGTTTGAAATAACATCCTTTATAATCATTCTAAAAAGATAGTAGAACTGTACAAAGACTGTTGCCAGGCAATGGGAGAGCGAGAGTCAGAGATCATTAGGGTTGACGCCACCACGACTTCTCCTGTTTCATAGTGGAAATAAAGTTAATTCCAAAAAACAGTTTCAATTATTAGCTGAACGACTGAGCTAGTTGGCGCCCAGAGAACCGGAATAGATAATTTATGATCATGGCGCCCCACGTTTGTTGAAATTAAAAAAAAAGGCTGCTCCAAGATGGCGGACAAGATTTGGTCCGATTTCATTCAAAATTGTTGAGTGGGGGTTTTTGAGGTCGGATATCATGATTCTCTTGTTAAAATCCGAAAATTCAAGATGGCGGCTTCCAAATAATTTTTTGTTTTTGTATAAATGACGATAACTCCGTTGTTATCAACACAAAACTATTACTGCAACATATCATCTGATCACTTTGAAAAACTGCCATGAGAATATGGAGTTCCTATTTGAATATTTTCATCAATAAAGAAGTTACGAAGGAGACATGAAAATGATCAAAATCTGTTTTTTGCGTATAAAACAAAAACGAATAGATTTTATCAGAATATTTTTTCACATTATAGTTGGCCTTGACAAACTCCACATTTGGTGTCATTTAATCGACCTCGTATCTCTCACCGTTGAAAAGATACCCATGGTGAGCATGGTAAGTGGGACACACTGTACCTATATTCCGAACCCTAACAAAACGAGTACGTTCCTTGAACGTACCAGGGACATTCATTTTTAATGGAGACGTCCATGGGATATCTTGTGTCACAAAAACAGGCATTCTAGGGATGTCCTTTTAATACGTCTCTGAGATGTACCAAGTCCGAACAAAGGATATCCGTATAGCACTTCTCAAGGATATTTCAGGGGCATCTCTCCGAAATAAAAAAAAGGCGGAGTTGGGATCTGAACCCCAGACCTTTAGCTTATCAGGCACGCAACTCACTCCATTGGCCAATAATAATTATGCTACCTGTGAATTATCGTACAAAGCTGATTCATAGAGGAATAAGGATAATCCCGCACTGATTTGTTGTTGAACCCATAGAAGTCATATCATTCAGGGTGTTTCAGAAGAACATAACCCCCTTGCTAGGGTAGGTAGAACATTGCAAAATAAGTTGGGTTTGCTAAGTGACAAAATGTGGTAACGGCGTCCGTTTTCATGAGACAATTATTTTTTACACATTTTTCACGATTATTCCGAAACTACTGGCTACATTGTTATGAAATTTTGTATGGATGTTTCTTGAAATCTGACACATCGCATGAATTTGTTTTTATATCTGACTCTCATAGAGGGCGCTAGTTACACGATTCGTACCGAGTAGTTTTGAACATAACTTTTTTGAGGTTAGATTTTTCAATCCAAATATGATATGAACTTGAACATCATTCTATTTTATACCAAAACACCTGGTGAATCTCGGTACTATGTTCCGTTTTCGGAATATTTTGATTTGAAAATAACGGAGTAGTATTGATGGTGGTATAAAATGAATTTAATTGAGTTGAATTACCTATTTATTCAGGATCAAAATCAATAAAATTATTCTTGTGCTGAAGTTATTGATGAAACAAAAAATCATGAGTAGAAAATTAACAGATATTTGACTAGAAACATGAAATATTGAATCAGTTAGAGTATGTGTTCAAAATGTCCTACGTTTCGAGGAATACACGATTCTATATTCCCTTTTTAAGAATGAATTATTTTTCTGAACAGTTGAGGATCTGCTGTTAGGTCATTTGAGTGATGTTCAATTATGTCTCACAACTCTTGACATGAATTTACCTATGTAGCATAGAATTTCTGCTCAAGATACAACAAATCTGTCTCGATGTTATTCTTGTGATTCATTGTTAAATCAATGAGTTTTGCATCAGAAATGTATTGTTGTTTTTGGTTTTCAATGAATAGGTGATTATTTTTCATAATACTCACTCTGATACATAGCTTTATACCAGCAACATTTACCACTTCATCATTTTCAAATCGAAATATTCCGAAAACGGCACACAGTATCTACCCAGGTAGAACATCATATTGGCTAGAACTTGGTTTCATATTAGCCCAATATTCGAATATTGAATATGGAATTACTAGATTGCACCAATATCAAACCAATTTTTCATTTCAATATTCGATCA